TCAGAAAGCTTCATAAAAGAGTTTGGCAAAATAAACACTTGAAGAAAAGTACAAATATCAGTGTTTACAGAGCCATAGTGCTGTCTACTCTCTTATATGGATCTGAATCATGGGTCATCTACCGCCACCACCTGCGTCTCCTAGAACACTTCCATCAATGCTGCATTCGTACAATCCTAAACATCCACTGGTCAGATTATGTGACCAATACACCTGTTCTTGAACAGGTAGCAATCACAAGTATTGAGGCCATGCTATTGAGAACGCAGCTGCGATGGGCAGGGCACATCTCAAGGATGAAGGACCACCGTCTCTCTAAGATGCTGCTTTATGGTGAACTTGCCACCAGCTACCGCAAGAGAGGAGCCCCGAAGAGAAGATTCAAGGACTCCCTGAAACAACATCTCAGCCTTGGCCATACTGATCAACATAACTAGTCTACTCTGGCCTCCGATCAGGAGGTCTGGAGACACACTATGCATAACACTGCAGGTGCCCTTGAGAAAGCACGCAGGATCACCCTTGAGGAGAAAAAACAATACAGAAAGAATTGTGTCTTGCAGAATATACCACCTAAGGAGTCTTTCTGCTGTGCCTTTTGCAACCGGATGTGCCTGTCTTGTATTGGCCTTTTTAGCCACCAACGTGCTTGTAAAAAACATGGATAGAGCCTTCCCCAAATCTTCATTTGTGAAGCCTAGCCATGATGATGATGATGATGATGATGTATAGATATCAAGAGTGGAAAAAGCCACAGATTTTTGCATATTTAAATATATTTTGTAATGGTGCCCTAACTCTAAACATTAGTTGCTACTTTAAATTATGGATCAGATAAACGCAGGCATTAAAGATATCAAGGCATTTGACAGTTCATGCACACTGCAGGACCCTCTTATCCTCAAATTCTATCCAGCTGCCTCATCCACCAGCTTCCCCCTACTGAGAAATGCTCTGTGGTATAATCCTGGAAATCTGTGTCTCCTGTTCAGTCAGAAAACAGACATGTCACAAATTCCGCTCTCTTAGAGGGAGAAGGGTTCACATTTTTCCCATTTATGGGAATGAGACAGCTACTTCAGTTCCTCACAAAACCCGCACAATTTACCTCCTTTTCCAATTTGATTGACACTTTCTCTCAACAGCTCAGTGACCACAGAACCCCTGATATAAGTGAGACATCTGAAATTCACATCATTGAAAAGCTCCTTCTCACTTCAAGACACATTTGTGTGTATATATGTGTATGTATATATATATAAAATATGAAATTCAATAAAGTTCTTCATCAGTGCATGACATGATCTAGTTGTGGATAGTATAGTTTTGTTTTGCAACATCCATTTCTTGAAAATATGAAATGTCTTTCTCAGGCTTGGGTAATTTTCCTTTCAACTGTTGTGATTAAAGTTACTGGAACTTTTTAGCCTGTAAGTAAAATGAGTTTTATTTTTCCATTGAACTTTTGATGAATGTGTGTGCTTTCTCTCTGTAAAACACTTTCTTATTCAAACTTCCAGTGCTTGAGTGAATAACACATGGATAGGCTATAGAATAGGTCAGTATGCAAATTTCGGGATTAGATTTACAGATGCATCAGTTGATGACAGTGACTTATTTGTTGGAAATTTATGTTCCATTCCCACTTGTATCCACCTGGGATCTTGTGTCCAACATGTAATTTTAGCCTATTTCACACATAATATCTTAGTAATACAAATGTATCATGAAGTGAGGAGCTTTTCAATGATGTGAATTTCAGCTGTCTCAAATCATGCTGGATTTGATAGGAACTGAAATAGCTGTCTTATTCCCATAAATTCGAAAAATAGGAAGATAAACCTTTGTGAATCCTTTTCCCTTTAAGAGAGAGGAATGTGTGAAGTCTCTGTTTTCCCACTGAACAGGAGACACAGATATCCAGGATTATACCAGAGAGCATTTGTCTGTAGGGGGAAGCTGGTGGATGAGGCAGCTGGATAAAATTTGAGGATAAGAGGGTCCTGCAGTGTGCAGGAACTGTCAAATGCCTTGATATCTTTAATGCCTGTGTTTATCTGACCTGTAATTTAAAGAAGGAAAGAAAGATTGGAGTTATGGCACTGTTACATGATCCATTTAAATATGCAAAAATTATCTTTTTGTTGTTAACCTTCTTCTCCCTCAAGATTCTGAAGAATGATGAATGAAAGTGGGAGGAAAACAACTTTGTTACTATGACACTGGTTTTCTGCCCTATTCCCACTCTTTCAGAAACTGCCTTCCTGATAGGAGAAAGTAGATTTTCCACGGTAGCACAAGAAAAGTTACTTGTCTAACTATTTTGGTGTTAGCAGAAAGTCCTAAACTGCTGCAGATAAAGATCTTATTCTCTGTGCTCTCTCTTTTCAGATTGTAGATATTACAGTGCGCAAAGAGGGCTCTGTTGGAGTCTGTGTTTTCTCCCTGAGCCTTTTTTTCACAGGGACGGATGGATGGAGAAGATGCAGCAGAATAAATATGTGCAGGTAGAGATGTTTTTTGCATTTTGTGGTTTGAGCTGGTACAACATTATGAATGTGGGTGCTTCTGCCCATGGCACTTATAGTGCCATTATAGTGATGCTTTAGTGATCTTTAAAATTCTGTTCTCTTAATTGAACTGATCTCAAGAACATTCTCTTGCTTTCTGGAAAAATAACTTATGCTGCAACTTAAAATGTCTTAGTGTTGCTTGCCCCACAGGACACTTAGGGTTTTATTTCTTTTGAAGCCACTTTCAGTTGTTTCCTTCCCTGATGGTGCCTATCGAGCAAAGTGTTTGATCACTGTTTGTCTGTTTGCCTGCATTAGGGTGGCCTGGCTTTTAAGGACAGCATAGTTCCTTCAGTAGAATTCTTCCAGCAAAACCCAGAGTAACTCTCTTATCATCAGAAAAGATTCACATCCTACTCAATGAAGAAGAAAAAAACTTTAGAGAGTAATGGATTGTGTTGATGTAACTAAGAGAAATACTCACCATCAGGTCTTGCTATTAATGTGTCTGTCCAATATCTGTTGCTAGCAGGTATTCTACATTTATTTAAATAAATACAAGGATTTTCAGATTTGAGGGTAAATATTGGGGGGTTTATAGTGTGATACTGAATGTGTTTTGGGCTCTGATCTTCTATATAAGAGATAGTATATTTGACTTTCAGATTTTGTCTGTAAAGGGTATAATGAACATAGCCTGGGAATAATAAAAAATAGAAATTCAGGAATGAAACACACTAATATATGTCTAATTTCTAACCAAAAGCTTTTACTACAAGGTAAATTTGGTGCCTATATTTAAGGTGTGCCTGAAAGTTCAGCTGGTTAAAACCTCAGAATGACTTTTGAAACAGGAAACCTCTTGCTTTCTTATATTTCCAATTGAACAAAAATGCCTCTTTGCTTTTCATAAATGTAACTATAATTTCAGCAGAAAGGAAATAATGGATTAATACTTAGGTGATTATTCTTCAAAGGTATCACCCAAGCACTTTTCCCATTTGGACAGTGTTGTCAGTGAGATCATTGTGGGATGATGGGGAGAGTTAAACCTTGATGGGATTCAGAATTTCAGGGTAAAAAGCAGCTGCAACTCCCTGGACAGACTGAGGTCGACATGCTCCCCAATACGATGTTGAACATCTGCTCAAAGGAACAGAACGGAGTGTGGAACCAAGTGCAGACTCTGTGACCCCCTCCATTCTAATCCCAGCAGAATGGGAGAACATTGTGGAACTGAGACCGTACAGTGCCTGTCTGACAAGGGAGAATCAAGATGTTCTGCTGCTGAAGCCAACAGCCACATCAAACCCCTTCCTCAGATGCCAAGCTACAACCCCCACCCCCTCCCATTACGTAGACCAATCAGAAACAAAAGGTATTTATGACTAGAGCCACTCAAACTCCACCCAAACACAAACAAAGTAGTATAAAAGTAGGTTGCGGAAAAGGGGGAAAGTGGGAGAAGACGTCCACCGAAACTGCTGGGATCGGTCGACGGGCTGAATCCATCTTCTCTCCCCCCAGAGGGACGCCTTAGGTGAGAACTACACTCTACATGCATTAAATGCTGCTTTTAGAACTGAGGCTTTTGCTTGTGCTTACCCCATAGCATATTAGCAGATTGCTTCGTATCAGAGCTTGTACTTGCTTAATATGTGGATCAGTAGATTGCATTATCACTGACAACCTTTCAACCTTATTAACCTGTCCCAAATTGTATTAATAAAAAGTGTTATTTCCTAAACTGTTGAAGGGAGTCCTTGCAGTTGCAGGGAGCAGAAAACACCTTGGCAGGACCCGCTGAGGTGTGAAATGTTTTTCTCATGAAAGTACTGAAGGGTGATTTTTTTCAAGATGTTTAGGTAATGCACAGTCCAGCCTGTTGCACACAATTTTGATTTTGGAAGTAACGAGTGATTATATTATAGCATATTGTATTATATAAGATATTAGTATTTTGATATTGTAAATACCTTTGTATATTACATTTGTTAAAAACCAAACCAAACAACAGTCCCCCCAAAAGAACCCCCAAAACAACCCAGTGGTAGATATTTATCCAAATAATCCAAACCAAAAAGTTTTCTTGGCTTCAGGTTAGGAGTGGGAAGTGGAGAATGGGGGGCAAAGTGTTAGGTGGAAGAAATTGCCATGTATTTTAGAAACAGCAGTAGTCCTCTAAAATGACCAAGTTTGAATTTTTAAAGGACTAAAATCTCTTAGATCTGCTGATAATTATTGAGATGGATAAGAGCAGAAGTATTTACTCATTATGAAAACTGAGTAGGTGATAGCTGTGGCTTTTGGCAAGGTATTGTACAGCACAGAAAAGAGAGTTTTGTCTGTCCTGTTTCCTAAGGTGTTGCTCTGAGCTGCTTTCTCATTTTTTTTCTTATTCCAGATGAAGACTTGAACACATCTTTATTCCCCTGTGGAAGAATCCACTAAATGCATTCTAACACCAAACTAAGCAGTTAGTTTATTTTTTTCAGATCCAGGTGCTCACAGGAAATATTCAGTGGGTGACTCTTGAGAAGGGAATGGATAGAAATAATTTGGGACTCAGAAGTTGTTATAATACATGCTAAAATTAGATTGAAACAAATAAGGACATTTTTATGTTTATGTTCCTACCAGTTTTCCTGTCTCAAGAAACTCCTCAAAATGCCCCTTACTGACTTTACTTGTGTTTTACTGTGCAGTTCTGTGAGTTTAAATTCCACTTTTATGGACTGTTGGAGATCTAATGGTCAATAGTTTGATCGGTGCTACCTTGCCACTCTTAAAAGGAACTCTTTGTGCTTTTAGGGAGCTGAAAGGAGTTCTGAAATTCAAAATAAGCAGAATCAAATCAAGCAGTTGTGTATAAGGCTTGAATTTGTATTTTATTTTTCAATTCAAAAGTCTAAATCTGTTAATTATCATACCTAGTGATAAGTCATTGCCCCAGAAAACCTTTTGTAATTTGTGTCTCTGACACTTTGTATTAATAGATTCTTTTTTTGGCATTACTTTGCTATTCTAAAAAATTATTCTAAAGCCCAGCTTTTATCTTAAGAAATTTTAATAGCAAATTGTACTTCAGTAGTGCCCAGTGTCTGCTTCATTTAATGACATGTTGTTCACCTCTTTCTATTGCTTTGCACGTCATCTGTTCAGTGAATTTGATCAGTCTATGTGGAATTCCTTGGGTTTTGACTTGAAAAGCTGCTGTGTCATTTTTGTAGTACCCAAAGTCAGCCTTAAGCCAGTTAGACTGACCTCAAAGCAGTGCTAGCTATGCACACTGCATTCACGTCCTCTCAAGAGGAGAGAAAGAAGTAATTTCCACTTTCGTTTAAAAGCAAAAGTGGAATTTGAAGCTGTGGTTTTGTATCCCTGATCCTGCCAAGAGTGGTACTTTAGTAACTGAAGGTCCTCTCAGTGCATTTGTATCTGTTGGTCTAATGGACCACTATCTGCTGCGGGACCAGAGATATCAACACCTGGTGCAGCATTTTCAATTCTTAATTGAATTTAAATGGGAATTTCTTTCATGCCCTGTAATGGAAAGAGCAGATCTGGACTCGAGCATTGTGTTCACCTCAGCAGCATACTTTAGGTAGTGTGTTGTTACAATTTCCTTGTAGTTACACACCCCCAAGTTTGTTCTCCCAGGTTCTAGAAGAAATCGCGTTCAGTTGTCCTTCAGCTACTTCTGGGAACGCTGGTTTTGTGTCTTCCCTCCCCGAATCAGTAACTAGGGAGACTTTTCTGTCTAATGCAAAGACTGAAATTATTTCTAAGGGTAACACTTTATCTCAGTGTGTTGACTTAAAAATTCAGCTGGTTCAGCAGCCTATGACAAGGTGACTGAGTTCAGCTGAGCTTCAGGAATTTGGAGGTGTCACTCTGTCTTTTTAAAACTATTTACTCATCTGTATCACATGGATTTTTTTCAGTCCTATATTCTTAGCTTCCTCTTTCCTAACCCAAGTCACAACCTGTAAATACTTGACAGCTGTTGAAAGGCCAAAAAGTCTGTTGTTCTATATGAGCACTAGTACATGGCTGGTACAGGTGTGTTGAAGAAATCCTCTCACATTGTCCATGAATGCTTGTCCAATTATGACTTCTGGTCACTGTTGCTGAAGGGAATGTCTAAGGTTTTTTTGCTCTTGATCACTGCTTTTGTCAGATTCAGTCTTCATTTTTTTTCAAAACTTCAGCTCCCAAATCCTTAATACTAAAACAATGTTTGCATTTGCTAAAACAGTTTTCTTTGCTTCATTTATTACAGTCAGTATAGCTTTCTAAAAGCTCAGTCTCTCTGTTGTCCTTAAAATTGCTTTAACGATCAAATCGATCTTAGAATTATTAAAAAAAAAAAAAAGAAAGAGCATCTTGATTTTCACTTTATCTTTTGAGTTTTTGATTGGAAGTGAGTCTGTGTGGTTTGCCAAAGTACCAGTTCTTTGGTTATATGCTTCCATTTTGTTACCATGGCAAATTCTAATCTCTGAGCTGTGGTTTCTGATCAGATCTGAACTTGCTTGTAAAGTCCCAGAGGTGGAAAAGAAAAACCACCCAAGTCCCATAAACCCAAATAAAATTGTTGCGCAAAGATTATTGTTTGCATATTCTTTTTAAAGAAATATATTGGCATCTGAAGAAGAGAGCTGTAATTAAAAGAGAGTATTGATTCTCTAACACATATGGTCCATAATTGAGCTAACGAAACAGAAATAGCACAACTGGACCTCAGCAATGAAAAATGCAGAGTGTTTCAAAGAATTAGGTGTTGATCTTTGTTGGGTTTGTTTTACATTACTCTTTCTTTTAAATGAATGAGCTTCTAGTGGGTTTTGCCTTATATCCTGGGTGCATCAAACAGAGCAAACACAGGGGTGGCCTCACATGGGGCACAGTGTGCAGTTCTGGTCCCCACAATTCAGGAAGGATGTGAAGGTCCTTGAATGCACCCAGAGGAGGGCAAAAAGGCTGGTGGGAGGGCTGGAAGGAATGTCCTGTGAGGAGGGGCTGAGGGCTTTGGACTTGTCTAGTTTGGAGAAGAGGAGGCCAAGGGGTGACCTTGACACTCTCTACAGCTTCCTGAGGAGGGGAAGTGGAGAGGGAGGTGCTGAGCTTCTCTCCCTGGTATCCAGTGACAGAAGGTGTGGGAATGGTTCAAAGCTGCACTGGGGGTGGGTTTGGGTGAGACATTAGGAAGCATTTCTTTACCAAGTGAGTGGTTGAACACTGGAACAGGCTTCCTAGAGGGGTGGTCCATGTCCCAAGCCTGTCAGTGCTCAAGAGGCACTTGAACAGTGCCCTGAGGAACAGCCTTAACATGGTCAGCCCTGAATTGCTCAGACAGTTGCACTGGATGGTTGTTGTAGGTCCCTTCCAACTGAAATTCCTCTTCTACTCTATTCTATTCACTTTTGATGTGGGGTTTCATAGAAGTCAGAAATCATTTATCTAATAGATAGTAGTTTAAAGCTGTGTATTATTTCTGTTATTTTCTAACTGTTCATAGATTTTTTTTCTTAAATTGCCTCTAGCACTGGAAACAAACCTTCAGAAGGAAAAATGGATCACTGGTGTTGGCCATCAGAAACCAACAGCTTTCGACGTTTCACCCCTGAGTCCTTGGCAGCAATTGAGCAAAGAATTGCTGAGAAAAAAAAGCAGCCAGACAAAGAAAAAGAGAAGCATAAGGACCAAAGAGTTGAAGAAGAACAACTTACTCCCCAGCCTGATCTGCAAATCTGCAAAAAGCTGCCATCTCTTTATGGGGACATTCCATCAGAGCTCATTGGGGAACCCCTGGAGGATTTTGATCCGTACTACAGTGATCACAAGGTTAAAACTTCCAAAAGCATTTCTTTGATTTAACTTTGTCTGCTGAACTCTTAAGAGATAGTAAAAGCTCTAGTTGGGAGATGCTGGGGTTTGATTGTTCTGCAGACAGGTCTTTTGACATTCCTGACATCTTTTGGGGCAGGAGTGCTAAGGTGTGCTCTGCTTTATGCCATGAAGAGGTATCTTCAGTTCCAGTCAGCAGTCAGATTTAATGATGAGGACATAATACATATGATTGATACACTTCTACAGGAAATATATCCTGGGATGAGGGATGCTTTGTTTTGCAGAGCAATTCCTATGATGCCTGGGAGGCTGAACTGCCTGTGGTATAAAGATTGCCTGTCCAAGAATAGATCATGCTGGAATTGCAGAAGCTTTCACTGAATTACAAAGATTATACCAATGAGGGGAAACATATTTGAGATATTTCCAGCACTCCGTGTAGCAAATCCATGTATTTGCATTGTTGTAAATTAATGTTCTATTATTTTATGTCTCATTGGCTTTGTTTATTGTACCATATTTATATTGCAAATCCTCCATGCGATTGCAAAGGAGTTGGTGTTGTTGCCTGTGGGAGTGTCTAAAGTAGATGCTGTAGGAATCCCTCCTCAGTTAAATGTCTATTGTATGATTGCTTAGTGTTGGGGGGGACTTGACCTGAAGAGCAGGAGGTTCCATGCAGTGCTGTGCTGCTGTCTTTATGAAATGACCAGCAAGGCATTGGAATATAATAATTGAATGGGAGAACATGCAGAAGACTTTGTTCCTCCAGAGATTTGTTTTCTCCAAGTACTCAAAGTAATAGTGTTGATGAAGAGAAACTGAGGCTGATTCAGTTGAAGAAATGTATATTAGGAAACTGTGTTTTTCATTCATGATATCTCATTTTTACATGTAGCACAAGTACGGAGCTGCGTGGAACTTGAGGTAGCTTGGAGGGAATTTACAGTGTTGCTTGATAATTTGGGGATACTTCAAAGTTTTTAATTTTTCCTTTGGATGTCAGGGATTCTGGCAGTCCTACACAATGTGTATTTTGCAAATAAGGTTTTGTAGCCTATAAAACTATCCAAGAGTAAGGTATTTCAGAGTGTGACTGTGACCATTGTTACAGTCCTAGAATACTAATTACTAGTTAGTTGCTTTAAGTAGTTAAATTACTTTGACCAAGTGAATATGATCACTTGCTCTTCATTCTCGTGTCTGCTTCTTCCTCTCCGGCAGTAATGCACTTCTATAGACCTGCTGTCTTTCCTTCCAAATGTGTATGGCCAGGTCACAGCTCCAAGTAAGAAAAAAGGAAAGCTTTACTCATAATTGCATTTAGATATAGTTCTAGATGCAGACTTGAAAACCTGAACATTTACTTTTTGGGGAAATTTTAATTCATTTAAATATTTCATATCCTTTGAATCTTTTCTTTGTAGACTTTTATGGTGCTAAATAAAAAGAGGACTATTTTCCGGTTTACTGCCACACCTGCCTTGTGTATATTTGGTCCTTTTAATCCAGTCAGAAAAGCAGCAATTAAAATTCTGACCAATTCATATCCTTTCATTGGTTTCCCTTATTTGAATTTTAAAATATTCTGTATCATTTTCTGTCATTCTGTTCCTTTCTTTATATGAATGTGAACAGAAGCTCTGGTATATATATGGCTGTGATAGAGATTTTTTAAAGGTTATATTGAATCTAATGTTACAACAGCTGAGATATTTCCATGATGTTGGTACAAGCTGATATTTAAAATCAATTTTGCAGATAGTGGTATGAAACAACCTTTAGAGGCTATTATATGATATTGTAACCCTTTTCCAGATCTTGTTCGAAATCTCTGCTGTGGTCACAAGGTTAAATTAAAAACATACAAACTAACAAACAAAGCAAACCAGGAACTCCCTGGTTTTTAAAATATGAAAGATGGGATTTCTGGTGAAGCTCTGCTGGAAGAGTCTCATGTTCTCCTAAGAAATGTGTTCCACACTCAAGTTTAGAATGTTCTGAAGAGTGCCCATCTTTCATATTTTTGAAACAATAGAACTGTAGTTTGGAGAATGTCAGAATGTGAAGGATTTGCAGGTGCAAAACCATCAAGTGAGTAGTTTCTGCTTTTTCTGCTAAACATCTCTTTTCATTTGGAATTATTAATTTGTGAAAATAGATCCTTTTAATGGAACTTATGTCAGACTTTGAATGTGTATTCCTGCTATTAGAAATTACTAAATTTACTCTTCACTTTCAATTAAACCCTACCTTTAAGAACAATGTTTAATTAAAAAACACCCCAAACAGTTTTATTAGATGTCAGGTGAACTTTTAGGAAACAATGTTTTTTCTTATGCATGTTTTCACTGCCTACCACATAAAGTGAGAAAGCTTTCTGAACTCCTGCAGAGCAGGGGGGTGTTTTGCTAACATGTGGATATGGAATCCCAGTTTCAAAGACCATTGGTTATTATTAATGAAGCTTTTTCAACTGGTTTTCATTAATTTATGTTTCTCATTCTTCTGTTAAACATGTTACATCCCACTTAAGTTCTAACTTAGTTTCTTTGGAAAACACATGAGAAGTCCTGAGTATATTCAAAACCGAAGAATGTCTGTATGTTTTATGTGTGGCAATCAGGACCTTCTGTGAACTTCATTGTTTTATAATGTAGCATTTTTTCCTTAACTTACTATTCACATATTTTGCGGTCTTTATTTTATGTACCGTGTTACTCAATTGTGTGGTTATGGTTGTACCTGATATTCCACTACCACTCGGCTGGACTGAGTAAGTATCTCAGTGGCTCTATGTTCCCTCTTTTTCCATGGATAGGTACATGAAGGAGTCAAAAATTTAAACAATGTGGTGATCTAATTCAGGGCCTTGAAAATTCTCAGTCAGACCTCTGAGGAAAATTGAGGATTGTTATTGTATCTCCCAGTCTTTGGTGGAGCTTCAGTGCCTTTTCTCAGAGGCTCACACCATATGGCCTTTCCTCTGTGTTGGCTAATTTTGCCATCTGGTGTGACATAGAAGGTTGCCTCATTTTTTCTTTTAAGGAATGAGCCTTTTAGAGAGGCTGTGGGGTAGAATTCTAACTTAATATCTCTCATTCTACAGCAATAACCTGAATGTCTGTTATGGTTGGCTCATGCAAAAACTAGAAAGGGATAAATGTCCATTCTGTTCTTTCTTCCTGTTTCCTGGTGACACTCCTGGTTCAGTTGTTCCCATTAGAAAGGCATCTCTTTGTAATGTCTTGCTACCTTTTGTACTTGTGCACTGTATCCAGTGCAACTTGACTTGTTGTTCTACAATTAAATCTTGAAAATGTCCCCGGAGCCCCTTTTATCTTGAGGTAAGCATGGTGATAAGAACAGCTTAATTTTCTATAGGTTTGCTTTCCATGATAGATTTTTTCTCAGACTAAATGTATAAAATGCGCAAACTTTACAGGTTGAAATGAGTCTTTGTTCAATTGTTCTTTTGTTCTGTTGTTCTGTCAGAATGTTGAGGCTCTGTGATTTTCCAGCCTGCTTTAGAATATAAACACAGTGTTAAAAATGTTTGCTAAGGAAGTGTGAGCTGTCGTTCACCTAGAAATAGCATTGTATGCTTCTGTGAACTTTTGTGGTTACAGATTTGTTACCTGCAGTCTTACTAGAATTCAGGAACACATTTTCTTATACCCATGATGCTTCTGAATGTAATGTAACCAGTCCTATCATAGAAAAAGCCTGAATGTGCCTGAATGTGACTCAATCTCATTAATATTTTTATTTCTATAACTTACATACACTTTTTCCTCCTCAGATGGGTTTTTACTGGCATTTATACTATTGAAATATTGATAAAAATAGTAGCAAGAGGATTTGTTTGGAATGAATTTACCTTCCTTCGAGATCCGTGGAACTGCTTGGATCTTTCTATTACTATCATAATGTAAGTAAAACCCAGTTTTGTTTTACACTCAAGGGACAAAACCACAGATAAAATACTATTTGATGTTGCTGAAATTCCTTAGAGTGTTTGGCATCCTACCTGCTAAAGAGTTACTGTGCTTGAACCACCATTTGGGTATGTGCAAAGAGAAAAATAGTCATAGACTGGCTCAACATGCTCATGGTTTGAAAAGTTACATTCTTGCCATTCAGTTATATGTGGTTTCATTTTATAGGTATATTATGTATGAAAATATAGGCAGCTTTGAACTTTCAGGTCTTCAAACTTTCAGAGTACTGAAGACTTTGAAAACCATTTCAGTAATACCAGGTAAGGAACAATCTTACTGATATCTTCTCCATTTCACCAGTGTGCTAATTCTGATTCGTCTCCTGTTCTTGTCTTCAGTTTTCTGGTAATTTTTTATGACTGCTGATGGGATCCCAAGGTGTGACTGTTTTACAGTCTGTAGTAACTCTCAGCAGCACCCTAACAGAATTGTTTAAATCATCTCTCAAAATGTTATTGACAAAGGCAAATTTAATTTCTGCACTTTTTATCCCATCACTAATGTTCAATTTTACTTAGTCCTATGCCTTTGTCATTTTACTTTTGTGTTCCTGGAGTAGCCTCCTCTATTTGATGTGTTCTCTTAACACAATATGGTTATACCCCCATATTTTTGTTTCCTTATCTTAATTAGCTTGCTGAGATTCATTGGCTTAATCTTCTCTGGTTTCTTCCCGAGAATGCTGACTTCACAATATTTGAGACTTTCACTTGTTTCCTTGTTGACCACAACCACTATCTGGATTCAGTGTAATACTTTCAGCAATATGTTGCATATACCATCCAGATATGTTTTGATATGTTTCCAAGTCATGCCCCTAACTAGGATACCAAAGGATGATTTCAGGGTCTACCTGCAAGAATTCATTTGAAAATCTGTCAATGACTATATATATTGTCATAATATATATTAAGTTTACCTATTCTATGTAATTGCAAATATAGTTTTGATTTTGCTCTGGAATTATAGCAGGAATTAAACATGGAAAGTGTTTAATTTTATTGCCAAAACCACACATAAATACTTTTCCTTTCATACTCAGCATGGAGAACAGAGACCAAAAATAATTTGACTTTCTTTCTTATGAAAAATGCTGGATATCACTGTCTGCTTATATCATACCTCAGATTCAATTATTCTGCCTCAATATTGGTCTTTAATTTATATATAAGGCATTTTCGCAGAATCCCAGAATGGTTGAGTTTGAAAGGGACATCTGGACGTCCTCTGGTCCAGCCTCACTGCCCAAGCAGGGCCGCTGAGACCTGGTTACCCAGGACCAAGTCCAGACAGCTTTTGTGAATCTCCAAGGATTGAGACTCCACATCTTCCCTGGGTAACCTGTGCCAGTGTTCAGTCACCCTCTCAGTAGAAAAGTGTTTCCTGATATTCAGATGGAACATCCCATGTCTCAGTTTGTGCCCATGGCCTCTGGTCCTGGCACTGGGCACCACTGAAAAGCACCTGGATCCATCCTCTTTGCTCTCTCCCTTCAGATTTGTGCAGACATGGAGGAGATCCCCCCTGAGCCCTCTCTTCTCCAGGCTGACCAGGCCCAGCTCAGCCTTTCCTCATGGCAGAATTGCTCCAGTCCCTTCACCATGTTTGTGGCCATTTGCTGGACTCTGCAGTGTGTCCATGGGCCAGAACTGGAGCCAGTACTCCAGCTGTGGCCCCACCAGGGCTGGGTAGACAGGAACAATCACCTCCCTTGACCTGCTGGCCAAGCTTTGCCTAATGCAGCCCAGGAAACAGTCACCCTCTTTGTCACACTGTTGCTGGATGATGTTCAAGTTGGTGTCCTCCAGAATGCCCAGGACTCTTTCTGCCAAGCTGTGTTCCAGCTGGCTGGTCCCCAACATTTATTTGTTTCCTTACCAATGTCATAAATGTTCTTTTGCTTTTAAACTGGTGGCATCTGTAAGGGATTACCTTCTAAGGCAGATTTCCCCGAGGCCAGCAGAAGCTGTCCTTCACTGTAATGTGTATGTGGCACTGGGTGAAGTACTTGTTTAGTGTTAATCAAGCACAGAAAGCTGCCCCTATTCATTAAAGACTTTGCTAGGCTACCATCTTAATTTAGAATTTGCAAGACAGCAAAATTAGTGTTAGTACTAAGCAGAAGCCAAAGAAGTTATGATTAGGAAATTTAGGGAAAAATGCTTTAGTCACTCCTGTGCTTTGTTTTACCACATTTAATACTCAGAAGTTACAAACCCAGTTACTCTGACTGTTTTTTACAGACTTGCAACTGCTGTGTCTTGTCATATGGGAATGTCACTGCATTCTTCTTCTCATTTTGCATATTATTGGATCTTATTTTTCTAGGTTTGAAAATCCTGGTAAATTCAATTGTTGAATCTCTTAAGAAACTTGCTGACGTGTTGATCTTGACTGTGTTTTGCTTGAGTGTATTTGCCCTAATAGGCCTCCAACTTTTTATGGGCAATTTAAGATTCAAATGTGTCCTCAATAATACTGTGTACAATGACTCATTATGTAAGGATCCCAAGATCTATGTACCAAGTGATGAAGGTAAATGTTGTTCTTTTCTCTCTTTACTTAATCTGTGCGTCTTCCTATGAATGTCTTGAATTTCAGAGGTACGTTAAACTATAGTTGCATGTATTTCTCCCAAGAAGGAAAACCCTTCTGTTTGCACGAGTCTTAATATGAAGTCTCTGGGACAAGTGAATGTGAAATTAGTGAATCTTGGATTTGGAGAAAGATTAGCAGTCTGTGGGATAGATGGGTCTGTGTTTTTTAAAAGCATTTGCCTTTTTACCTGTGCATGGTACAGGGATCCTAATTTTAGGGGTACTGCAGAGGGAATGGTTATTTTTCCATCACTTTTTCTATATTTCAGGGATTTTGCTGACTTCTCAAAGAGATGCTTATTTTTACCAGAGACCAAATGAAATCTTACATTGTGAGTTGTGCAGTAAATAGTTGCTATTTTTTTTAATCTGTCGTAGAGACAGATTTGCTGAGAATCAGCCCTATACGTCCTTTGTTGTGAAAGGATCCTTCCCAGAGCTTTGATCCATCAGGGTGTTTATCAAGTGCAGTAAATGTATGGTTTCCTGTCAGAAGGCTGTGCAAACTGACAACTTCTGATTTTATGATTCCTTGATTTATTTTTTATTAGATATCTGCCACAGAATGAATGGCTCTAATGACATATTGCTCTGTGGGTTCAGTTCAGATCCTGAGTAAGTGAACAAAGCAGTTTTAATATTTTCTCAATTTGTTCCTCCAGATGTACTGTGGTTTTATTTCAGGTCTAAAGGAATGGTGATGATTTTTCAGGAGAATGGGGGGTGGTGTCATTAAATTAAAAGGCAGATATTTCCCATCAGAAAAAGAACGAAGCACAAGGATGCAACCAGTTATGTATGTACTTTGTTGCTAACCACTGGGAATGTAATGGTAGGTAGAATTATACAAATGAGGAGAGGAAGAGATCAGTAAAGACCTGTTAGATATTAATAAACTCTCCTCTCTTCATCTTGGTGAATTATTTAAAAGTAAAGATAATTCCATTTTTCCCCTCTCTGTGTATCTGTTTGCACATATCCAACATCAGGGGAGACTTTTTGTCTACTCCTAAACTAGAGGTTTCTGTCTAGTTTTCTCTGATTAGACAAATGACTTTCTAGGACGGTTTGATATAAATCAGCCCTTCTGGCAGAATTAAGTTGGGGAATAATGAAATGGACTTTCAGAGAAACTGAACAAATTTGGTGTTGTCTATTGGGTGCTTTCAGGTACCGTTCAATCTCCAAGTAATTATTGTTTAATCTTTATTTTGTGGTTAGGAAAGAGTGCCCAGAAAACTATACCTGCCAGCAGATTGGGCAGAATCCTGACTTTGGTTATACAAGTTTTGATCATTTTGGCTGGGCCTTCCTCTCTGTATTCCGTCTGATGACACAGGATTCCTGGGAGCGTCTCTACAGACAAGTGGGTACTTTTATTACCTGATAGAATGACTTGACACGTGCAATTCAGAGCCACGAGAAAAATCTGTACTGATTTTAACCTTACTGACCCCACATTTCCTTCAAAATCCATGTAAATATTAAGGAAGTAGGTTCAAGTGACTCAGTTGTAACTCCTTCTGCAAGGGACATGGAACGGGAGCAATCCTGCTGGGAATGCCCATAGTTCTGTAGGAGAACACACTGGGGTCAGTGGTTAAGAGTGAACTATGAGTATGGAACCACCCAAGGATTGGGATATACAGCAGATCCAGCCAGTGAGCTCAGTGCTGCTGCAGGGAAACTATTTAAAGTTAGTTTGAAATTTTATTGTAAATGTTAGTTTGTTAAGAATATATCCCAACTTTTACCTTTTCCTCACAGACTATCCGTACATCTGGAGTGACCTGCTTTTTTTTTTTTGTGGGAGTCATCTTTTTCTGCTCATTTTATCTCTTCAATCTGATCTTGACTGTGGTAGCAATGTCATATGTAGAGCAAAAAAGAACTGAAACAGAGGCTAAGAAAAAACTACTTCAGGAAGCCCAAGAAATTATAAAGAAAGAACGGGTTTGTAAATTATTATATATAGTAAATGGTTCCTTTTGTTTTCTTATGTATGTGAATTAGGGAAATGATATTTTGAATTAAACATGTGCTTCTTGCAATACTTTCTCACACTTCATTTCTCTTTGTGTCTCTATAAATGCATGAGTGTATGTGTATATGTATTTGAATATATAAACATTTCTGTGATACAAAAACCCATCATGAAATTTTAAGATTTGCAGACCTGACATTGTATAGGAATAGCTTGCTGGCAAGTTTGTAGCTTTTATGGTATTGCATAGGTGCTGCACTCCATGGTTTTCCCCATTCTTGTACACTACCATTATTGCTGTGGACAGAAATTCCTTTCTCTGGGTATTCCTTCTTGCTCTTACTGTGTAGTCTCAGGAAGGAAATATGAGTGGATACATTTACATCCATGAGAAAAATTGTCATTTCTGCAGTTCCCAGAAGTTGGAAGTTCCAGTGCTGATAGATTTCAGGCCTGATTAAAAAGCCTTCCAGGAACCACAGTGCTCAGCATTTTAAAGGTTGTCGGGCATCTTTCTCAGTGACTGCATGCAGGAGGTCTATCAGTTGACGAGAGCAGGAATAGTTCTCAGACAGGAGAGTTAATAGACACACATCAGATTTCCACAGTGTTTCCTCTTGGCATAGTATTGTTCCAATCATTCATGCCTTGGTCTGTAAGGGACCAGGGATCACCTGTTTTTATTTCTGATAATCACTGAGTCATGGAATCACAGAATGGTTTGGATCGCAAGGGACCTTACAGTTCCTCCAGTCCAGGATGAGCTGGAACACCTTCCACTAGACCAGATTGCTCCAAACCTCATCCAACTTGGCCTTGAACACTTCCAGAGATGAGGCATCCAGAACTTTTCAGGGCAACCTATGCCAGTGCCTCACCACCCTCCCGGGAAAGAATTTATTCATAACATCGAATCGAAATCTCTCTTCTTTCCCTTTAAAACCATTAGCCCTTGTCATGTCACTACTTGCCCTTGTAAAAAGTCCCTCTCCAGCTCTCTTGGAGCCCCTTGAGGCACTGGAAGGGGCTCTAAGGTCTCCCTGGAGCCTTGTCTTCTTCAGGCTGAATGACCCCAACTCTCTCAGCCTGTCACCAGAGCAGAGGTGCTCCAGCCCTCGGAGCATCTCTGTGCCCTTGGGCAGGTCCATATCCTGCTGATGTTGGATATTGGCCCCGAGCTGGACACAGCACTGCAGGTGGGGTCTCATGAGAGGGGAGCAGAGAGGTAGAATCACCTGCCTTGACCTGCTGCCCATGCTTCTCGTGATGCAGCCCAGGACACAGTTATTTCTCGGCTGCAGGCCCACGCTGCTGGGTCATCTCAAGCTTCTCATCCACCAGAAGTGAAGCTCTAAGCCAAGGCAGCAGGATGGGTTGAAAATTATTGGTAAGACCTATTGTATCTTGTAAATTTTTATAAAAGATGCCTCTGCTTTACTGCTTAGAGTCAAAAATGTCAGATTTGTAAGAGGCCATGCAAATATTCTCTAGCAAGTATCCAATTTCCTCATTAAGGTGTAAGGCATCACCATTTTACCAACTTCCTCCTCTAGAGCTGTTGGCAGCTCTGTAATGTTTCCCTGCCTGACATTCCAGCTTGCCAAGCTTTACTTAGGCTTTTCTTCCTTTTAGTTTCCTTTTGACAGGATTAGTATTTAAGAAAAGGATATAGATTGAGCCCTTAGTTTTCTGTTGTCTTTGCACTCAAGGTCCTTTTCAAAGTAAGAAAAGGGAAGTAAAAGGATACCCCATAATATTCTGTAATTCAGAGACAAAACACAATATCTGAAGTGATAAGAGCAAACTTGAATTACAGCAGCTGACAAGTAACCCTGTTTTGTCTTTCCCTACTGTGAATAGCATTTTGTACTCCCCTGTTTTTCAGCAGTTAAACATTTGAAAGCTAGGAATTGTTAGTGTAAAGCATTCAGAGAGCATAATAATTTAATGAGTAAAAACTAAATTGAATATTCTGCTAGTCCCTGTGTTGGCATTTGCCCTGTGTTAATAGACAGACCTTTGGCCTTTTCTTTTACAGGAGTTGGCTGCAGCAGAAAGCAGTAAAGCCCTACAGGTTGGGTCTGAAATGCCAGAAAGACTTTTGAAAAATTCAAAAGGAAAAGAGACTAATAAAGAAACACCTATTTTAAGACACAATGTATCTTTCTATGATCAGGAGAAAGAGGAGCAAATATTTCATTCAAAGCCTTGTCACTGCCGAAAGAAGCTTGTAAGTGTTCCAAATAGAAAATATATTCATTAGACTTGCACTTGATATGAGAATTCAATGAGCAGGAAAGCTTTCTTTATTGCCATTTTTTCCTCTCTGTTTTATTTTTTTTCTCCTTATGCATTCATTGGAATAACTTGTTTTTTAAAGCAATCGGAAAATTATATTTTGGGATGTGAGGGAGACAACACATATGGACTTGAAAGGGAAGTTGGAAGTGGCTGTCAGTAGTACATATTAGTATTTCATATTGAAATAATTTCATATTAAAAAAGAGAAAAAAAAAGAAAAGGGTAGAGCATGATCCAGTGTGAGATTCTCTGACATAGAGTTCTTTCATTAGTCAAATAAATATAAACTGCAACAAACATGGCAATTACTGATGGTTCTCCTGCAGCTGAGGACTCTTCAAACAGTGTACTCTCTACTTTCACCACAAAAATAGGCTTAAGACAGTAAGTCAAAGAGAAAAAAGTATATCAGGTAGAAACATTTTGGTAGGACAAAAACAGTTCATAAAAGCTTGAATGGACTACTCCTCTAGAGCATATCCCTATTTTAAATCCCAGTTTTTCATCCCCAGTTATTTCCCTCAGCTAAAGACAGATGAGCAGCAGTAACCAGGTCAGGGTCAATTCCTTCGATATGTCCGTTCTATGACAGTTCTATCAGCTAAATTTTGATTATTTTTTCATCAAAATATCAGAGTGGCAAAGAGAAATAATGATTCTTAAACCCCTGAGGCCAAGGATATCAGTTTCATTCAAATTGTGCTGAGAGGGAATTCCAAGGTACTGGGCACTGTGGTGTGGTCAGTCTGTCCCCTCCCAGTCTGTCAGGTTCCCTGTCAGCTGGTAGTTCTAATTATATCCTTCCTGATACTGGAATCTTTGTTTGGTTACAGCCTGGTGCTAATAACACCAAGGTTGTGGGTTCAATCCCTCCATGAGCCACACACTTAAGAGCTGGAACAGGATGATCCTCGTGGGTGCCTTCCAACTCAGGGTATTCGGTGAAATTTCAGTGAAATTCTTTCTGATTTTCTCTACCTCAGAGTCTCACATATTCTTTGCAGCCTGTGTTTTATGATTGTCTACTTAAACTTGAGATTGTGTGTGTGTTAATGTGTCATAATCTGAATATTTGATAACAATTCAGTGTATTCTATCAGATACAAGTGTTGGCCTTGAGCTCACTTCAGGAGCACTGAGTTGAGCATTCTGTGGCTTCTAATGAAAAAAAAGTAGTGTCATTCCTAGTTTTGAGCAGTTCAATATTAGTAGAGATCTAGACAGGTCTAGTAGTGCTGGAAAAAAACAATAATTTTATTAACTACTTGACTATTTTTCATATTATCAAATGTGTGTTATTTATTAATTATCAATAATTATCATTGTTAAATAGGTAATGGTTTATTCAAACTGATGGCCAGTGTTCATTTCGTCTGTTCTTCTCATCAGTGACTGGAAAGATGGAACGATTTGCCTTCAAAAGCAAAGACCTGATAGTGTTGTATTTTTTGTTTTAGATATTGTCACCAAAGTAAAGCTTCCCTTCAATGTGTATTTAAAAACACATATTTATCTCATGCTGGACATAATTTTTGTATTGCCAGTTTTTCATATTCCCTTGCTATGTTACCTTCTGTTGTCTTTCTAACCAAAGAGGAAGGTCCTGCTGTCCTATGATGTGTCAGTGGAGTCTATTAATGATCCTTTCCGAAGACAGAGGTTAATGAGTGCAGCTGCTATTCTTACAGACTTTTCAGGTAAGTCATTTTTCCTCTGGGATTGTGTAACGTGACCTGAGAGATCAAACTGTCTCAAACACTCAGCATTATTTTAAAAGCCTCTAGGGGAAATTATGCTGCAAATGTAAATTTCAGGAAAACAAATATTCTCATCTCTCATATAATTGTGACTGTAACTCACAGTTACCAAGGGTAAATCATGCCTGACCAACTTGATTGAAAGAAGAGAATTTCAAAGTGTGTGTAAGCAGAAACGTTGCCCATTTTCCGAGGAACAGATGGTGCAGTCTCTGACCTGATGGCTGACCCTGCTTGGGGAAGGGGGTTGCACTACAGATCTCCTGAGCTCTCCTCCAACCTCACTTATAACCCTGTCCTCAGCTATGGACACCTGTGGCTGGGCAGGTTCAACTCACAGGAAACAGGTTGTCATTCTCCCAGAAACAGTGATTTCTCTCCTTAATGCAGATCCTTTATCATCCTTTAATAATGTAATCATAGAATCATGGAACAGTTTGTGTTGGATTGGACATTAAGGATCATTTTGTTCTTCCCCACTGCCATGGGCAGGGACACCTTCCACTAGACCAGGTTGCTGAGAGTCCCATCCAAGCTGGCCTTGAGCACTCCCAGGGATGGGGCATCCATAACTTCTCTGGGCAACCTGTGCCTGGGCCTCCCCAGCCTCACAGGAAAGAATAATAAACATATGAAGAGGTGGGGAATATCCCCTGTTTCTGTCATTATGACGTTTTTTGGTGGTGACCTGCAATAGCCTGTGATTAGTTTGTGTAGTAGGAGTGAAACAACTCTTTTCAACGATGCCATTCTGCTCACATGAGATTGATTTTTCTTTTCAATCTTTTCTCTGACTGTCTTTTTCTTCACACTGTGATATTCCATATAGGATTATTCATGTCACTTTCCCTCTTTCTCTGCTATGGTAAAAAGTGAAACGTCCTGCATTGTGGAAGCGTTTTGCTCCAAAGTATCTAATTTGGAATTGTTGTCCATTCTGGAGAGCAGTCAAAGAGAAGGTGAAATTGGTGATTTTGAATCCGTTTGTTGAACTCTTTATCACAGTTTGCATTATCTTGAACACCTTAATCATGGCTATGGAGCACCCTGGCATGGTGACAAGAATCAGAGAAATGATTACTATAAGTGACCAGGTAAGTGAGGTCTATGTTAGAGTGAATATGGAGTTATAACCCTGTATTTATACTGGAACAGTCCCATAAGGAGACAGACTTCTTCAGTGACCTTTTCTGAATTTCTTTTTTGTCTTTCCAGGTCTTCACCCTGATTTTTACACTAGAAATGATCTTGAAAATCATTGCTCTAGATCCTTACTACTATTTTCAGAACAAGTGGAATGTTTTTGATAGCTTGGTTGTTTTGATTGGCCTAGTGAGCTTTGGAACCAAGCTGTCACCTTTCCGAGTGGTAATGATTTCTTTACTATTTTTTAAAAGTACATGTATTGTATAGATTTGTGAAGGATTACAGTCAAATACCCTCTCATTATTTTACTGATGAAACTGTTAAATCAGTCCTCTTTGTTGGTAAATAGTAAGCCAACAGGAATATTTCATTGAATAGATAGTAAAAGTTCCTTCACAGCTTTTCCTTTTGAGCTGAGATTTGTAAAATAACAGAGCTTTCCTCAGGGCTTAGTCTTGGCCTTGAGGGCTCTTTAGTGCTTTCCTCCATTTTAGGGAGAAAGAGGAATCGTTCTGAGGTGTCTGTGTATGACATTGCTTTTGCATTTATGTCCTTACTCCATATTTTTAATGCTAAATTTACTAATTATTTCAAAATTCTTCTTAGCATTTCAGTCCACAAGCCTAGAAATGCTGTTGAATTGTGTTTCCCCTTGTTTATCATGCCTGAGAGATTTTCACAGCCCGGAATGCTAATTTGACTAAATACCTCCTTTTTACTCATGGAGGTACACAGAGTAGGTCTCACCAGGCTTTTCAGATCCTATTTTAAGTCTGTTTGGTGAGAGGTATAAAAAATATTTGTCTTATTGCATTTGACCAAAACTCAGTAATTTCATAACCTTCATCCAAGTACCCATGACCTACTTCATTGTATTCCTGTACTTTTTATTGCTAATAATATTATTAGACTGGCACACTCTCATATCTAACTTAGCACGAAGAATTTGAAATCTTCCTTTGATACTTCTCTGCTCTCAACAACATTAACTCTTAGAGCTTAAGCACAGCACTTTTTCATCAAAACAGTTAAAAGCCTTTCTTTGGGGAAAAATGACAATGTTACTGCAGTAAAGGCAGCATGATGAATGCAGGGTCTGGTTTTTATGTGGGCTGTGCTGTCTGGGCTGTGTTTGACCTTACCTTTTTTCTCTTGTGTTTTATTTTACAGATGAGGATCTTCAAATTGGCAAAGGCCTGGCCAGCCTTAAATACTCTAATTCTAATCTCATGTGATGCTCTGAGTAACCTCACTCTGGTTTTGGCTATCACTGTATTTATTTTCGCTGTACTAGGAATGCAGCTTCTGCACACCGATTATGAAAAAAACTTCTATAAAATAAGCACCAATTGGGATTTACGCTGGCATATGAAGGATTTCAGTCATTCAGTCCTGATTATATTCCGAATCTTATGTGGAGAATGGATTGAAATGATGTGGGAATGTATGGAAGTGGCTGGAAAAGAGAAATGTATTACCATTTTCTTGCTAGTCCTGGTGATAGGAAACCTGGTGGTGAGTTTTAAACTGATTCCCAGTTCCTACTGAATGCACCCAGTTACACTGGCAACTGATTTTTTCAGAGGCAAACTTTATCATTTCAAGAGTATTCACACTATTCACTTTTCTGGATGTCACTTGACAAGTTTTTCTTCTATCTTTTTTTTTTTTTTTTACTTTTCCCCTGCCTTTCTCTTTGTCACACAAGAGGTAGAAGCAATGCCAAATTATTCCCTCTACCCACAGTATAGAAGTGCAGTGCTTCTGATAATGTGGTGTCTGATGTCTTCATCTTTTGTGTTGGTAGGATCCAATAACCAACTGTTCAGTGCTTTTAATGCCTATCAACTTGTATTATCAAGAGTTTACCATACCCAGATTTTCTGGTTTGTATGACATATAGTAGTTGGAATGTAAATGTACTGAAAGACAAAATCTTTTTCATCTGCTTGGTTTGTTGGTCCATACCAGAACCTTTGGGATGGTGGTGTTATTAAAATTCATCTTTGCTCTTTTTTAACATATCTATCTCCTCATACGTTATGGACATCAGAGCAGGTGAAAATATATTTGATATACCCAAACCCTCACTTCCTTCCTTTTTCTCCTGCCATTCCTTCCAGAAGGGGCCAGATCATACTATAACAGCATTGCAATATAATAGTAAATAGTTTCATGGCAATGTTGATGAAAGCAAGACTGAGGGTTTCTGAAGTGTCTTTTCTGTTAGCAGTGGTGTCTCCAACTTACTTTAATTATTTCAAGGTGCTCAACTTGTTCATTGCCCTGCTGCTGAGTTTTTTTGATACTGACAGCTTAGGAGGACGAGAGGAACCTGGAGAAGGGACTAAATGTCAGATTGCCCTTGCACAGATTTACAAGGGCCTGAAGTCTGTGAAAGACAGAATTCTGGATCCTCGTGGCAGAAAAATGAAAAAAAGGCTCAAAAAGACAGACAAAAAGAAGACTTTGGAGGAAATTTCTGGCCAAAACATAGAGGATAATAATTATGCCATGACAGATGTTGGAAAATACATAGACAACAATTGCTTTGTCATAGAGTGTTACCATAATGAAGAGAATTCCTCAATAATGAGGAAATACGAAGATCTTTCCAGCAGTCACAGTACCTGTGTTCCCATTAAAGCAGCAGAGAGTTCCAGTGACAAAAGTGATGATGAGCACATTGTATTCACAGAAACAGAACACAGAAAACAGGTAAGAACAAAATACTGTAACTGTAATTGTCATCTCAAAGACAATAGTAAATATTATCCCTTCTGTCATTTCTGCCATTTTACTTTCTTTGTTCTTCTAGTGCAAGGGCTACCAAATAGTCTTCATTTTCCAAAGAGATTTTGAATATCCACTTTTTCACCATTCTCTTTGTGGATTGCCCTAATTCTGCCTTTGTCAGTTTTGTTTCCAACTATTGCTGTCAACAAATAAATGAAGTTTGATGAAAACAGACATTCCTTCTTTTTGTCTCCTTTGTCTTACACTTGGATAGTTTCTAACACAGGCCTCTTCTGCTGCTTACATGTTGCTTTGCAGTTGCATGGCATCCAAAGAAAATGGAAAGAAAAGCTGCGCCTCAAAAAAGAATTTTTTTTTTTAAATTACCTTTTCACCTCTATGATATTTTGGATTCTCCTTTATATGTTGTGATTTTCTTGCATCGGGCAGGATAAAGCTCCAGTCTTTCTGCATCTGAGTTAGACATTTATACTGTCATGATCGTACATAGAGATATTTCAGGTGTCTGTCACACCCATGCAGAACTGTCAAATAAGACACAGGAGCTATAGGAACTCTTTTCACAGTTACAGAATTGTTTGGGTTGGAAGGGACCTCTGGAGATCATCCGGTCCACACCACCTGCTAAAGCAGGGTCACCTAAAGCAGGTTACAGAGGAGTGTTTACAGGCAGGTTTGGAATGTAAAAAGACAAACATACTAGTGGAAGGTTCTCTGCCCATGACAGGAGGGTTGGAACTAGTTGATCTTTAAGGTCCCTTCCAACTCAAACCATTCTGTGATTCGGTGATTCGGTGATTGTAACTTTTGTGGATGTTTTAGATTCTGTTAAAGAATTCTGAATTCAAGAATGACTGTCAGGAAAGAAAAATGTGAAAAAATCAACCGTTTTACATAATTTCCTGCAGAGAGACAGATTAGGACATAAAGAACAGCAGCAGAGTTCAGGTATCTTCAGTCAGATTGCTGGGACTCCTGAAACTATAAATGTTTTCACAGTAACACATGAAAAGCAAGAGCAAAAAGAGGTAATTCTCACTTTTATCATCTTGTGGAATATGCTAGAGATTCAAACTGTCACAGCTGTTCTCTCATTCAGCAATGACAGGACAGGTTGAGATTTTCTGAAGAGTAGCAAGTATAATCCCTGTGGAGGTGGCACATCTCTCTACAGGCAGTAATAGCATTGAGGTTTGTCTCTCATCAATAACCATGGTTAATGGTGTAAGTTAACGTATAATTTTGTACAAATTAAGTAAACAGAAATTAACCAGGAAACACACTGACTTTAAGCATGTCTGATACATGCTACTTGTTTCTATGGATAATTCTGTTTGCTGTCATTCCTGGATGCAAAAATGTGCTCTCTAGAAATGGTTCCCTGAGCAACCATGCTTTTTCTGATACAGAAACCCAGCTCATTCTAATATTCTGGTAGAGTACAGTTCCATATCAAAAAAAGGTGGAGAATCATGGCTTGGCTCTGATGACTCAGAAAATTAAATGAAAGTTCAGCATCTTTCTGGATTACTACCCCCAAAAGTCAAACCCCGTTAGCATTTTCTGGTTTTATGCACAGTCACCAGAATTTTTCTTTGTTATACATTATTGAAATGTGTTTATATTTAAAAATAATATTGAAAACATTGCAGTGCCCATTAATTTAAAAAATTGCATTTTTGTATATGGTGAACATTTCCTAGGACCTTAGATTAGTGTAGAACATCATGGCTGTCGATAGATGAATTTCTCCCTTCTTCTGGCTTCCCATTCTTATCCCTATCCTCATGCCTTCCCTTTCCATGCCATACAGGGCACTTACACATTATGATTGATAGATATCTTTACTCTTTTTTCCTTATACTTGCTTTCCTTATTGTCTTTAGTTTTACAAGTGTGTAGGTTACCTACCAGTAATTACAATTCTTTGAGGTGTGTAGACCATACATACATTTCTATCCTGTTAGACCTTCCCATCTTCAAGCCTTTTGAGACATGGTTTTTATCTGAAAGTGAAAAGAGAATTGGACTGGCCTGAAGAAGTCAGACTTTTCTCCAAAGCTGTAGCATAGGAAAGCCTTCTTCTTCCTGCATGTCCTGTTTAGATGACTAGAAGAAACCAAGGAACTTATTAAATTAAAAGCATGGAAACAAAGAGTAGGGATTGACTTGTTCTGTCCTATTATTTGTAATTTCATTTTGGTAGTTCAGCAACAATTAGGTAATTTATAGATGGCAGAATTCTTTTGGGGAGGGGCTCAGGGGGATGATAAATTTCATTTATTTTTGGTTTTTTAACCTTATTAATGAAATGCAAATAAATTCTCCTCTTTCTCCTTCTCCCATGCAGAAATGTAGTGCTCTTCACAGCTCTTCTGAAGCCAGCAGTGTGGATGCAGTTGTTGGTCTGGAGATGTTTTCCCAGACTAAAAACTTACACCTGCCTAAGGACTGTTTTGGAGAAAGTAGGAATCTTTTCTGTATTGTGCTAACACCAAATGAACCAGTGTTAAAAAATATCCACTTGGAACATGTCCAAATTAGCAGAATCTGTTTTCCTGCTCATCCCAGTGTTGACATCTGCCTTTGATTACCTGACCATCTCCTTAGGCTCCATTGACTCTCATGCTTTGACACTTCATGAAGAGTGTTTCTGGTGCAAAGCAGTGAACAGGGAGTGTAGTTGTAATGTCTCTGCAGTGCAAAACAGTGTGATAATCAGTAAAAATAATAATTGAGTAGCCTACTAGTAAGGTACTCTCTCTTTTCAAAACAAAAAGAAGAAATAAACATATATAGAAGTAAAGGTGCTTTTTTTCTTGTGCCCACCAGCCTTTCTGCAGAAGGGCACAAAAGCAACTCTCTTTTTCCCGTGTATGAATTGCTCTATTAAAAGAGATTATTTTGGCATACAAGTTTTTTCTTTTCTTTAGCTTTAGATCATTTCAACCACAGCATCACCTCAGAGGTAAAACAGCACATTTTTTCTCTAGTCTGTAGAAGCCCTTTTTAAGATATCCTGTACTGTTTTGATTCCATGTCTCAGCATTTTCCATGGAACCAATATACTGTTCTTTCTCTTTTCAGACTGTGGTAAATATTTCCCATGTTGTGTAGTGGATATCACCAAGTTTCCAGGCAGAAGTTGGTGGAAATTGAGGAAAACCTGCTACAGAATTGTTAACCATAGCGGGTTTGAGTATTTTATGATTTTTGTGATAGTGTTGAGCAGTGCAGCACTGGTAAATTGCATTTAATTTCTCTAATTTTGCATTGATTGTTGTCAATAAGGAAAATAATAGTATTTGATTGATTTTTTCTACTCTGATATTCCTTCCCACAGGGAGAGATAAAAGTGTAGTAAATGTATCCCTGAAAAGTGATAAGGCTTTCCCCCATTTTGATAAGATATTTAAATATATGGATTTAGTTATGTGGAATTATAGTTTTTCAAGGAACATAGTTCTTCGTACACTTGTGTGTTAATTACAAGGCTAAACCAGAGTCTGAAATTACTTTGCACTTTTAAATAAAATAATAGCACTTCTAAATGTTTAAAGCATTTTTAAAACATTATGATTAGAATCTCAAAGTGAAGTTGGCTGTAAACTGATAGCTGAGGTAATGTTTCGTTGCTACCCTGATCAGATCCATTTCTACACATGAATAAGGGAATTTCTATGATTTGAAAGCATATTCACTCTGTCGACTGAAAGTAATTTGTTAAATAGAATGTTTTATAATGCAGAAGGAACATAAACAAATAGTCTGAAAGGGATCTATGTGGTAAATGTCAGAATTTTCCAAATCAAATCTGCTCTGTGTACGTTAAGTTCAGGTTGGTCACTGAACCATAGATTAAAATTGTCTACTTTTAAATTCCCATGGCAAAGTGTCCAAGGGAAATCCCTGGGATTCCTGTGAGGGCTCCTCTCTATTCATGTGGAACCAAGCTGAAGTAAGGAAGGAATCTGAGTTATTCTTTAATGTGCTCTAGGTTCTGACTAAGTTGAGCACAAAGCTAATTGGTACCCAGG